GGTGTTGACGACATCTCCCATCTTCTTCTTCTTCGTCTGTCTCTCCCTCCTCCTCGTCTGTGTATGCATGGGCCTGGCGCATTCTTCTGTGTGAGTGCCAGACCCTTCACACCATTGTACGATGATGATGTATGTTGAGACTGCATTGCAACATTGATTGTTCGGATCATTGGTATCTCAGTCTTCCGCTACTCTATCTTATACTTTGTATGAGAGGCCGGTTCTTGTTCTGTCTTGCACCTTTACGGTATGCAACAGCCTCCCTCTCCCGAATCCTCCTCTGCTTCGGCCCGAGGTGCATGGCGCATCAGTACTGGGCCAAACTGCATCTGTTGTCGATATACCGACAAACAGTCCACGAGTTCGATCAGAGGACAAACTGACTCGACCATCGAAACCGACGAGAATGCACATTCAGGCAAGACAGACAAGACAGACCAGACAGACAAGACAATCACCATGACAGAAGAAGAGGGACGAAGAAGAAGAAGAAGAAAACAGGAGGAAGAAGACGAAAACAGAAGTACAGTATGGCGTACGACCCAGGTGAGCAGTTGCGGATACGGTTCCTCCTTGTTTTTCCCTGTGCACTTGCATTGATGCAGGTCTGCCTGCAGGGCGACTCTGATGTTCTCCAGCGCGCTTCCTTGATATGCTTGCAGCGGTGGCGATGCTCCCTGTCGACATCGCTCGTTCCTCATGGTCCACAGGGCCCACAGTACTGCCGCCTGTACGATTTCTGCAGCCATCAGATCCTCCGGTTTCGATCTGTCTACTTTTATCAGGGCTCCGAGAAGGATAGCTGCATCATCCACCTCCGTGACTTCCAGGGGGGGTCTTATCCGCAATTTCCTGCACCCACAATTCCCAAAGGCCCGGACTACCGGGCATCGCACAAAGAGATGGGGGATGGTCTCCACTTGCTCGCATCCCGCTGCGCATGACTGGTCCTTGTGCTGGCTCCTAGCCCCCGACCATTGCGCTGTAGGGATTGCCTGGTGGTAGAGTTGCCATAACAGGGCCGCCTGGTTCTGGTCTGGTAAGGCAGCTAGGATGGCATTTTGCTCATTCCATGTGTTGCGTCCATCTGTTAATGTACACGTCAGGAAGCCAATCCCTCTCGACCCATCGGTTTTTCAGCTCTCCACATATGTCCACTCGGTTCTCACCGTTTCCCTTGTATTTCTTCTTTCAGCTCGTCAGCACAAGTCACTTCCAAAAATAATGATATGACCCTGAGGCAAAAATTGCTCAGTTTATTTTTCTGCGTAACATTGTTTCAGATTTTTTGGAATTGTTTTATCATTATTACTTTTTGCTGGGACCTTCTTTGGCCCTTGCATGGCCAGGCCGCCCAGGCAAACAAGGTGACCCGGGCGGCCCGGCTGGTAGCCTAGACGTTTATTGCATTATCCAATGGATTTTCGATCCTAATCAATCGTATATAGATAGAGATACAGGAGAACAATAACAACAGGTGGAGAGAGATCTTTCTTTGTATGTCAGAGACAGAGAGGGCCGGGGGGGAGGGGGGGGGGAAG